CTCAGTGGAAATGCTTCCCAACTTTTCCCCATTCAATAGGATGTTGGCTGTGGGTTTTTCATAGATTGCTTTGATTGTATTGAGGAATGTTCCTTCCAAACCCAGTTTGCTTAGAGTTTTCATCATGAACGGGTGTTGTATTTTATCAAATGCTTTCTCGGCATCTATTGAGAGAATCATATGGTTTTTCTTCTGCAGTCTGTTAATGTGGTGTATCACATTGATTGTCTTGCGCACATTAAACCATCCCTGCATACCAGGGATAAATCCCACTTGGTCTGGGTGGATGATCTTTCTGATGTGTTGTTGCATTCTATTGGCCAGAATTTTATTGAGGATTTTTGCATCTATGTTCATCAGGGATATTGGTCTGTAATTCTCTTTCAGTGCTGCATCTTTCTCTGGCTTAGGAATTAAGGTGATGCTGGCTTCATAGAAAGAATTTGGGAGGATTCCCTCTTCTTCAATTGTTCTGAATAGTTTGAGAAGGATTGGAGTTAGTTCTTCTTTAAATGTCTGGTAGAATTCAGCAGTGAATCCATCTGGTCCTGGGCTTTTCTTTGTTGGGAGGGCCTTTATTACTGTTTCAATTTCTGTCTCAGTTATGGGTCTGTTTAGGTTTTCGATGTCTTCCTGGTTCAATTTAGGTAGGTTGCATGTGTCCAGGAATCTATCCATTTCTGATAGGTTTCCCTGTTTGCTGGCATACCAGTCCTTGTAGTAATTTCTGATGATTCTTTTTGTTTCTATGGTGTCTGTTGTTACGTTTCCTTTTTCATCTCTGATTTTATTGATTTGGGTCTTTTCTCTTGTTTTTTTAGTTAGTTGGGCCAATGGGGTGTCAATGTTTTTTATTTTTTCAAAAAGCCAGCTCTTTGCTTGGCCAATTTTTTGTAATTTTTTTTGATTCAATTCTATTGATTTCTTCTCTGATTTTAATTATTTCTCTTCTCCTACTAGATTTGGGTCTGGTTTGCTGCAGATTTTCTAGATCCTTGAGAGGAATTGAAAGCTCATCTATTTGGTGCCTTTCCAATTTCTTGATGTAGGCACCTATTGCTATAAACTTTCCTCTCAACAATGCTTTTGCTGTATTCCATAAGTTTTGATATATTGTGTTATTATCCTCATTTACTTCCAGAAAGTTTTTGATTTCTCTTTTGATTTCTTCTATGACCCAGTGGTCATTCAGGAGCATGTTTTTTACTATCCATGTGTTTGCATATGCTCTAGGGATTCCTGAGTTGCTAATTTCCACCTTCATTCCACTGTGGTCTGAGAAGCTTCATGATATGATTCTAATTCTTTCTAATTTGCTGAGACTTGCTTTATGGCCTAGTATGTGGTCAGTCCTAGAGAAGGTTCCATGCACTGTTGAGAAGAATGTAAAAATCTTTAAATGTAGGATTGAAAGTTCTGTAGATATCTATTAGATCCATTTGAGCAATAGTGCCAATTAAATCTGCTGTTTCCTTGTTGATCTTCTGTCCAGTTGATCTGTCTATATCTGAGATTGGAGTATTGAAATCCCCCAGTACTATTGTATTGGAATCTAAGTCTCCCTTTAAGTCCCTTGACATACCTTTTAAATAAACTGGTGCCCTGTAATTAGGTGCATATACATTTATAATCATTACATCTTCCTGTTGAAATGAACCCTTAATCATTATATAGTGTCCCTCTTTGTCTCTCTTAACAGTTTTTGTGTGAAAGTTTATTTTGTGTGATATTAATATGGCTACACCTGCTTTTTTTCATTTCTGTTGGCATGGAATATCTTTTTCCAGCCTTTCATTTTCAGTCTGCATGCATCTTTGTTGGAAAGATGTGTTTCTTGAAGGCAGCAAATAGATGGGTTTTGTTCCTTAATCCATTAGCCAGTCTGTGCCTTTTAACTGGAGAATTGAGTCCATTAACGTTCAGTGTGACTATTGATATGTAGTGACTTTGCCCTGCCATTTTCCGAAAGATATTTTCTAGTGTATGCTTTAAGCTTCCTATGGTCTTTTTCTTTCATATTGATGGCCCTGTTTCTGTGTTTCTGTGTGTAGCACATCTTTAAGCATCTTTTGCAGGGCTGGACGAGTGGCGAAAAATTCTTTCAATTTCTGTTTGATATGAAAGGTCTTTATTTCACCTTCATTCAAAAATGAGAGCTTTGCAGGGTATAATATTCTGGGCTGGCAGTTTGTCTCTCTTAGTACCTGGGCTATGTCTCGCCATTCCCTCCTACCTTGTAGGGTTTCTGATGAGAAGTCTGCTGTAATTCTAATTGGAGATCCTCTGAGAGTAATCTGACATTTCTCTCTGGCACATTTTAGGATCTTTTCTTTCTATTTCACTGTGTTGAGTTTAATTACAACGTGTCGTGGTGAGGATCTGTTTTGGTCATGTTTACTAGGGGTTCTATGAGCTTCCTGTACTAGGATGTCTCTGTCCTTCTCCAAACCTGGGACATTTTCTTCCTGTATCTCACTAAAAAGGCTTTTAAAAGTCAGTTACAAAAAGAGGGAAAGATGGAATGGAAGATCTTGCATCTGTTGGTTCACTTCACATATTGCCACAATAGCTGGGACTGGTATGGATTGAAGCTAGCAGCCCTGAGCTTCATCCTGGTCTCCATGTGCATGTCAGGGTCCATACACTTGGGCTATCTTCTGCTGCTTTTCCCAAGCATTTGCAGAGAGCTGGATCAGAAGTAGAAATGGAGCAGCCGAAACTTGAACCAGCTTACATTTTGGATGCTAGCATCTCAGGCTGTGACTTTACCCACTACACCACAACACTGACCCCAAGGGATTTTAACTGTATATATGACAAGCATTACTAAGTCATTTTTAGTGGTACTTTCCTATAGAAGTAAAGAATTTTGCTATGAGTTATATAAGGATTTTATAAGAGCTTTGGTAGATATTAGATAAGTCACATTGAACCAAAATTGGGGGAAATGACAGTTATTTATTTTTTTTACTTGAAAGATAGACAGAGACAATATAGTATATTCTGTGTATAGCTTCACTCCCCAGTTGCCCACAGAAGCACAGGCTGAAGAAGGCCAAAGCTAGGAACACAGAACACAATCCAAGTCTCCCATGTGAGTGTCAGGTAACCAAATATTTGATTCATAACATGATGTTTCCCAAGGTCCACATTAGCATAATCTGAACTGATGCTCAGAGGTGGAATGTGTACATCCCAAGTGGTGTCTTAGTTCACCAAATATCCCTCCCACAAAATGACAGTTATTTAAATTCAAAGTAAATCTTGGTGTTCATGCGGTCATGTGATAAACCTACATGTTTTTGTTTCAACAGCTAGAAATAAGGGAATATAATATTCTTTCATGTACATTCCTGAAAAAATCAGAGTATGGTCATGTACATGATCAATAGATGCTGAAAATCTCTCATAAATGCCAAAATCTATATTAAAGACAATACTAAAGACTTGCTGCTTATGAGGCACTGCCAATAATCTAATGCTGTATCTTTTAATAATTTATCCCTAAAACAATCAGAAAGTTACATTACAACCAATGCTTTCTTACTCCTTTAGGCACCTAACAAAGAGAAGAGCTCTTAGGTAGCTTCGCTTGATTATTCTGAAACCATTATATTTGATGAAAAGGATATTGCTGTTTTGGGAGTAAGATATAAACTGAGACATGTTAGGTTAATTTTCATACCATGCTCCTATACAATAGTGAAATCAATAGTTAGAACAGCTTATTATTGCCATTCTATCCATTAAAATGCATACTTGTAGTTAAAAATTTGGATATATTTTGTTGATGTTTGTATTACTAAGAAAGTGACAGCAAAAATGTCAAAAGAAATCCTGAAAAAATCTGCAGACTGCTATGTGTCTGGTGTTTTTTGTGTGTAAAAATAATGGAATGAAGTTATTTTCTTTCTTTTGAAATGCAAGTTAAGCTTAACATGGTTAGTGCTTTAGTTAGACCTAGTCATCTGTATCACAGACTAGGTAAGATAGCCAAAGACAACCGAAAACTGGTCAGATTTGTTGGTCCACTCAATTCCATGTGACAAGTTGCTTCTACCCCACTCACAACCCTTCTTCCATATCCTGACAATTTTCCTTTATAAAATTTATCACATTCTAAAATATTATTTATTTGTCTTTTTTTGCTGTACATATTTCCTGGATGTTGCAACCTTGAGAATTTCAGAGAATGACACATTTAAAATAGTTTATTGTTACATTCCAGGTGACTAGAAAAATGCTAGCTATACAGGCTAAGTGAATCCGTGTTAAATGAATAAATAAACATGTGGTGGGAAAATGTGGTATTGTGGCTAAGTTGCTGCTCAAGACATCTGGTAGTTATTACTATGCCACATTTGAGTTCTAGCTCCTTTGCTTCTGATCCAATTTCTTACTCATCTGTACCCCAGGAGGCAGCAGATAAATTATGTTTTTTAAAATGCAAAAAATGACCCTAAAGAAATTATTATTGCATGCATCATTTCACCCAAAACTTTAATTCATCATCTCTAAAATAATGCAATATTAAATATATTATTCTTGCATTTTGAATTAATACAAATATTAAATATATGTATAAGAATATTATTTATATATTACTTTATTACTTATATGTAACTAGTATGTATATTCAAGCAAGTCTGTAGTCTAGTTCTAATTAATGTATCTACCAAATCTAATCACAATAAGTCATATGCATAATGTTCATGCTCCTTATAAAATTTTAAGAATTGACTTTCAGAATGATACAGTACCTGCACACCAAGCAATTGTAGAGAAATATTTAATACAAAAATTTATTAAGAAATGCCATTTTAATGGTTCCTGCGCATTGCATTTCTTTGTAGCTGTCACATACAGAGCAAATTTTAAAAATATGTCATTGACAGAAGTTACAAAGAAACAATAGTTAGCAAGTAGTTTCCTTAATTATATAACTATTGTTCCAATTCAAATTTGAAAATGTCTCTAACTCAGTTATTTTCTATTTACAGAAATTTACATTGACATGTTTCTAAGTATTATTCTCAAGACCTAGGAATAAGGTATAGTATGTTTTACTTTATATTTTAAGTATATGTTTAAAACCTCATGTCAGTTGTGTAATAACTAGGAGTTGTTCCTCATAATGTGGATCACAAGTAGGCTGTTGGTTTGTGGACTCAGGTTTCAATCATCATCCATTTGTTGGATATGACTTTGTGATTGTTCTTTTTATTGGAAGCTACTGGCATGAAGATGCCTATATTTTGCTTGTTTCCCAATAATTGTTTACTGCAGAATAAAATGTTTTATTGATTTTGCCATTTAACAATTCTTCTCTACCAACATATTTGATATTTGTGGTGTTGCAATTGCTACATAGAAAGGATCTCATGTTAAAATATTCTTCCAAAGAAATATGGCATATATAAATTATGGAATATTACTCAGCCATCAAAATGAATAAAATAGTGACATTGGCAACAAAATGGATACAATGAAACGTAATTATGCTAAGTGAAAGAAGCTAGACTCAGAGAAACAAAAACTAATGTTTTATTTGTGGAAGTTAATGGAGAGTGTAAAAATTGTGTGAATGTTATGCAATTTGGTATTTAATTATGAATATTACGTTATTGAATCATACCATGTGCATGAAAATATTCCTGTCTTTCCCCCCATTACAAAAAGAAAGGGAAAGAGTGCCATAGAGGACTCCTGGGGCACTAGTAATGTTCTGTTCTTAACTTGGGTGCCGGTTATGAGTGTACTCAGAGGACAACAAACTAATTTATCTGTACATGTGCATTTCTTGGTATGTACCCTGTATCAATAAAATGTTTTTTATAACAGAAAACTTTCATCCTAATACAATAGCCACAGGAATAAGACCATGCAAAAATATGAATTTATCAATGTTAGGAAAGTATAAAAATCTAAAATTTGAATGAGACAAATCAGATCCATTTATTTATGGATTTTCTTCTCGCTGAAGAAATTCCTACTGAAAATGTTCTTCTGCTTGTGTGGTTGTTACAAGGAAGGAAGGATGTGAGGGAGGGGGACAGTGCTGTCAGAAATATTGAAGTCTGTAAAGTAAGTACCAGGACAGGTGTTTAGCCCAGCAGTTAAACCACTAGCTGGGACATCTGTGCACATTGGGGAGTGTCAGAGTTAGGTTTCCTACTTCAACTTCTGTTTCCAGCTTCTTGCTAATACACCTTTAGGGAGGCAACAGGGATAGTTCTGATATTAGGTCTCTGCAAAACTGCATGGGAGACCTGTTCCAGGCTCCTGGTTTGTGCCAGCCCTGGTTTTTTGCAGGTATTTTGGAATTGAACTGGAAGATGGGAACTAGCTTGACACCTCCCCACCCCTCCCTGCTTTCTGAATGTCATACTGTCCGTTATAAATATATATATATATATATAAAATTATATATAATTTAATATATATATTTGAAGTGAATACCAGTCTTCAAGGCCTTGGTTTTTTGAGAATTTGATGGTAGGAAATGCTTTTTTGAGAGGTCTTATTACAATGACATAAGTTTCTTTAAAATTACAAATAAATATCCCATTCAAGGAGCTGGACTTGTGTTGTTTGGGTAACTGGTTGCTTCTTAGTCTATGAAATAAATCAATGAACAAGCATTGTAGTTCATTATTGTAGCAATATTTGATTCTTAGATTCTTATCAGAACTTTCAGAAAAGTCAACAACTGGGTAAAAGAATTTGTAAATTTCTAAGCGTTGTGTTTATTAGCTATTTTTTCTCTGGTTGAGTAATATTTTAATATTAGATGTGATTGCTTTATAATACTTATAAATTCATATTTCTAATTGAACATAGTGAAATGAGCTTGAATGCCAAATGAAAAATAACTGATTTACATTTGTGTTCAATTGTTTTGTTTCTTTAAAAATTCTCTTAATTATGCTTACATATTTTCAATTAGTAAAAATCAATGATCCATATATATTTTAAAAGAATAGAAAATAACATTCACAATTTGAAAAAAATAATTCCTTAATCTATTCAGCTTTTTTTCCAATGCTATGTATTTCAGAAGTATAGGGACAAATTATTCCATTGGCCATTGAGTAATTAATAACACAAATAGAAAAACACCCTGCAGTAAAAATAGATTAAAAATACAAGTTAATGCAACATTTTACAGAGATTTCTTGCCTATTTTAGGAATGTTACTGAATGTCATAAATTGTTTAATTATTAAATAATTTTACTAGACCCTGACAGATATATACAATGCAAACTGGAAAACCCAATTCTCTAACATGTTATTCAGAGAACACTAGTTGTGAAATAAGTACATTAGTAATGAAATGATTTACTCAAATACCAAACTTCTCCGTTTTTTCTGGGGTCCTTGTTTAAGTGTATAAGTAAGGCTTCCTGAGACAACCCAGAATTGCTATGACTCAAAAGTGTTCTGTGTTTTTGAACCAATCTTCCCACTGCCTGTGTATCTGTGTGGTATGAACAATCTACAGCTGTGTAATCAGTGAGTCAGAAAATCTTGAATTTCTTATGGATGGGGTCATTGCAATTGACTGTTGGGAGAAGAAAGAAGGGTTATTAATATCCACAACCCAAATGACCAATGTGTGTAGTTGCTCTACAGTTGGGGTAAAATGAAGACACTTAATTTCTACTGTGTCTTCATATATCTATCTGTTTTTTATATATCCCCCATCTTTAAAAGATAAAAGAATTGCACATTGTGTTTTCTTATCTCAATTTTTATTTTTGATTCTGCTGTCAGAATGATGAATATGTATAGATAGGCACATTGCAAGAGAACTTCTAAGAATGAAGAAGCTAAGAAAATACTTAGTATTCTCAGCAGCAAATAAATGAAAAGGAAATCTGTCAGTTACATTTGGTATTCAGTTCCTTTAATCAGTGCTTGTAAGGCGGATTTACAGAGCTTTTTAGAATATTTAACATTCACTACTTCTTACGTGCAAGCCCAGGGGACATTGAAACAGGGAATGCCTACTTTGGCTCAATCCATCTCTCTCCTTTTTTTAATGCTTCATTAGAAACAGCCCTCCTTTATTTAGGTATTATTTTTCATTTCTTCATGGATCTTGATTTCTATTTGGCCACTGGGATAACTGAACTTTTAATGCAGAAAAAAAATCACATTCAATATTGTGCTAGCAACAGGCTGCAGTATAGTGGCATGCCAGATAATTTATCTGCAGAATACTTTGAAGTTACAATTTCATGTCAGTCTGAATTTCCACTTGATTCTGTGTCTCTTTTGCCTGTCTTCTATCTTCTGCTCACAAGACTGGCTAGATACGCTGCCTCTGCGTTGGCATCACTTGTTTGCAATGTCATTTCTGCATTCCTTTTACCTATGTTGGCTGACACTAAAGGTCTAGTTAAACCCTGACTCTGTTGAATACTCTCCCATCTAGGATATCCTGGTTAATCTGAAATTCTTTGTGTACCTGTATCATATATACTGTATAAGGAAAGCCCTCATGTTTTAGTTACATTGAGAGTGTATTGCTTCGCAGATGGCCTTTGATATCCAAGGACTTTGCATCATGTTAGTGTTATCGCTCCAGTCAGATGAGCTTTTTTCTACTGAGACAGCCCTCTCCATGGCAAGAGAGAGATGAAACCAATGTAGTTATGAATCCAGGTAACCAAATGAACCATGCCATGTATAAAGAGATAGAGAAATATTATATATATACATATTATTGTTTCCTTCTTACTAATATTTGTATTTCCTAGAAATGCACACAAAGACACACACACAACATATACACACTCTACACTAACCAAAGTAAATCATTCTGCTCAAGGACAAATTATTTGACAAATTATTTGAATCATCAGTGAGAATATTGGAATAATAATTAGAACTGGATGTGCTTTCTTCATACAAATGATATATGGGTTAAATATGACAGTAAATATTTAATAGATTCAATTAATAGCAATCATAGAAACATTAGCTGAAATTTCTTGTGTTCAATGCTTTATATTACATATTATCTCATTTTAAATTATTAAGTATTAAATATATTTTCCTATCTTCATATACATTAGTAGTTCTCTTGTTTTCTATATCTTTATATATTTCACATTTTCTTTATAGCATGAGAACATACAATGTATTTGAGTAGAATTTTGAAGGTGGATCTTCTGTCACTTATGAAATCTGTAGGTGGTTTCCTAATATACCTTAGAGATGATTCAGGGGCAAATCTAATGCTTATATCTTGAGTGATTTTCCCTCTCACAGTTTTGTATTTGTTTGTGAGTAAAATTTGAAAATTCCAAGAAGAACTATCTCCTGTAATACCTTTTATTTAATTTGGACACTCTCAACTTTTGAAAATATTACCTTTGATTTCCCTTGAAGAACTTGGTAAATACAGGGACTACAGCAGTAACAGCACCGGGGAGGTCCCCTCAGCCAAGTGGCAGACTCCTTGACTGAGACAGAGAGCCTGGCCCCAACAGGGTGCACCAGGACACAGCATAACCCATTGGCATGTCGTAAATGCATAACCTGAATCTAATCATGGGGACACGTCAGACACCATGTGAGGGCTGTTCTGCAGAACAATCTCTAGTACTCCTCAGAGGCATCAAGGCCACGAAAGCCAAGTCAGAGAGCAGCCCCCTGCTTGGAGGCAATGAGATGTTTGACTCAAGGCCCCGTGGGTCCTCTATGGAACCTGTGAACTGTAATTCAGTCACTTATGTGTCATGGGCAGTTGATGGACACAGTACTAGAATCTGTTGTGTCAGGGGAGGTGGGGCCCAGTTATGTAATTGTCCTACTTTTGCAGCTCTTTGGAAGTCTGAAATCATTGTGAAATGAAAGCATTGGAATACATTTATATATATATATATATATATATATGTATTTCATTGTGTATATGTCATTTATATATTTCATATATACGTAGAAAATATTACCTTTAAGTGAGGAAATTGTTTTTATAATTATTGACTTTTCATTGTCAACCTGTCCTATTTCCTTTTCCTATAATTTCTGTCCTTCAAATAT